TCCCCATCTCCCCTTCTCCCCATGTCCCCACCCCCCCACAAACAGAGATGTTCCCTTCACCTCCGTGCTCCCCGTCCCCTTACAGAGCTGCTGGGATGGGGTCACGCTCTCTGTGCCCCGATCCCCCCCAGCTGCAGTTGGAGCAGCCCAGGGAGTGCAGAGCCAAACCAGGGCTGAGCCCCAACCCCACCTCCTGGTGGCCCCGACCCCACTGCCTGCCCTGACACTTTAGAAGCTCACAGTTGTATTTACTCTTCTTCCCCTTGGAGCGGAGATGGATTTGGCTTCTGCCATTGACAATGGAGAAGTTGGTGACCTCAAAGACTTCATAGGGTGGGATGAGGACTTCATCCTCAGAGGGGTAGAAGGAGAACTGCTTGATGGGGACACCATAGCAGGTCTTAATCACAAAGAAGGTGACCTGGCCAAACTTCAATGCAACCTCCTTCCTTAGGGAGGCGGAGGTGAACTGGCCGAAGCGCACAGCCGTCCCTCTTTGGGCTGTGAAGCGGATGCTCCCAACACCGCGATAGACGTGGTAGCAGTAGGGCTTGAATCCCCGCAGGGAACGCAGCGCCTGGGTCAGGAGGAAGTGCAGCGTCTTGAAGTGGAAGTAAAAGCAATAGTTCTGGTGGGAACGTCCGCCCTGGCGTGTGGCTGCATTCAGCTGCTGGTATAGCGGGCTTGCAGCAGTGTACGCCAGCACGGCGATGGCCTGCTCCCGTCTTAGTGGGGGTTGAGAGAGGTGGCCCCCGCGCTTCTGCCATACTGCAGCTGCCTTCCTCCAGCCATCAGCGTAGACATAGTTCTTGGTGAACTCAGTATAGTTCACCATCTGTAGCCTATTCCACATCATCTGCCCGCAGCCTTCGTATTGGTCATCAAAGGAGTCAGGGGCCATGTTCATTGGCACCGTGATGGAGACGAGGTCTCCTTCATGCAGGGCGCTGCTGGAGGCCGACGTGCTGAGCAAGGTGCTGAGCAGCACCCAGCGCAGGGCGAGGAGCTCCATGAGCGGCAGCTGGCTGCGGGCAGCGGCTGCAGGGAGAAGCGGAGCAGATGCACCAGGTTACCTCAGGACCCCCCTGGACCCGCCCTGACCCCCCGGGGAAGCACCTCCAGCCCGCGTCCCCATCCAGGGCCACCGGGCTCTT